ATGTGTTTTTTGGCAAACTCTATGCGGGCTTTCATATGTCTTGCACTGAGGAGAGGCTTCCGTCGGGCCACTCTGCCATAAAGCCCCGACTGGTGGAGGGCTGCAGTGATAGTTGACTTTGTGGAACTTTCTCCCATCTCCCTACTGCATCTCTGGAGCTCAGCCACAGTGATCTTTGGGTTCTTCTTTACCTCTCTCACCAAGGCTCTTCTTCCACGATTGCTCAGTTTGGCTGGACGGCCAGGTCTAGGAAGAGTTCTGGTCGTCCCAAACTTCTTCCATTTAAGGATTATGGAGGCCACTGTGCTCTTAGGAACCTTGAGTGCTGCAGAAATTCTTTTGTAACCTTGGCCAGATCTGTGCCTTGCCACAATTCTGTCTCTGAGCTCCTTGGGCAGTTCCTTCGACCTCATGATTCTCATTTGCTCTGACATGCACTGTGAGCTGTAAGGTCTTATATAGACAGGTGTGTGCCTTTCCTAATCAAGTCCAATCAGTTTAATTAAACACAGCTGGACTCCAATGAAGGAGTAGAACCATCTCAAGGAGGATCAGAAGAAATGGACAGCATGTGAGTTAAATATGAGTGTCACAGCAAAGGGTCTGAATACTTATGACCATGTGATATTTCAGTTTTTCTTTTTTAATAAATTTGCAAAAATTTCTACATTTCTGTTTTTTTCTGTCAAGATGGGGTGCTGAGTGTACATTAATGAGAAATAAAATGAACTTTTTTGATTTTAGCAAATGGCTGCAATGAAACAAAGAGTGAAAAATTTAAAGGGGTCTGAATACTTTCCGTACCCACTGTACTTTCACACATTTCAATAGATCCCTCTCTCAATGCCGGCTTCATTGTGTTGAGAGAGAATACGTCAATCTTTTACCTGAAGGAATCGATGAGTCATCCAAAGGCAGGTAGGACTGAGCTCTGATGCACACCTGATGGTCGTAGACATCTGCTGCCCCCTACACACACACACACACACACACACACACACACACACAGATTCTTTTAAATCACGTATGAGGCAGTCATCAGATAAAGCACAGACTCAGAGAGGACCAGCCATTATGAAATGTTGCATCTGTGATTAAGCTTCATAGAACCTGGGGTGCATTTGCAGCTTAACAGTTCAGAGGGACATTTAAGTCTTCTGTTTGTCATATTTCATATCGTCTGATGCCGACCAGGTTAGACACGTGTGAGAGAGAGTGAAGTCAAGCCAAAGAGGCTAGAAAACTATTTGGCTTTAAAAGGTCCTCATACCAACTATGAACTAGTTCCTCACCTACGAGCCTGTACTGCACTACAGAGCAGGAGATAAGGTTAGCGAGGTGACTGGAGGGTTGACCCGGGGGTTCACTTCTCACCAGGGTTGATCGCCATGGTAACTGATGCTGCACACATAACCTGAGATAACGGATCAACTCGTTTAAAAACACCGCCTGGTGACCAATCAGAGCTTGGTATCGTACGGTATGGATCGTTAGATAACACACATGAATATGAAGAAGACAAAGTGAGGAAGGACAGCTGCTGATAGATCTCAGGCTGAGTGAGATCTCTGCTTCATCTACAGCGTGATGGACATCATGTCGAGAGAGTTGTTGAGTCCTAAAGGCAACATTCATTGAAGAGTGATTGATTCATCAATTCCAAAATTCACATGTTTTTATCGAACTAAATATTCTGCTTCGATCCAAATGTGTTGTTGGCCTTTTAAGAACTACACTTTCACTGAGGTAACACATCCTCCACACAGAGGCTACATCATCTAACATCATCTAACACACCAGCCAGTACATTTATATAAGCACAAGAACAATAGATCAGCTCATATTCCAGAGTCATGCCTTACTGTCCCACAGATGCATTGAGTTACTTTGCTACCAGTACTTGTATGTGTGCTGTGTGGTAGATATGAAAGTAAACCTTTTTACTGTTCTGAATTATGTTTTTATATCTTTGCTATTTTTTTATTTGTCTTTCTTTCAAAAAAGATCTCAATGAGAAATACATCTTAACTAAGTACGAACCTCATCCTTCCCCTTGTGTTCCACCTCACGCTCATCTTAGACCTCCTTCACTCTACATTAAAGATGATTGAATTCATTAACAGTGTATTCTTACTTCTTTGTCAGTGATTGGATGATCATGTAGATGATCATGTGCTCTTACCTGTCCCGTCAGGTTGAAGTAGGCGTGGTTGGTGAGGTTGATCGGGGTGGTTTTGGTAGACCGGGCTTGGTATTCAGCAGTTAGTGTTTCCCCCTGAACACACAATTTAATTTGACTGAACTGGCCTCTGCAAACTTGATTGACATGCAAAATCCACTTAATGTCGTAGCTGAAAAACTAGCTTTTTAAAGCTACTACGAGGAACATTCATTCTGTGCTGCTGTTGATGAAGCTTGTGGAGAAAAGCGGTAGTGTTTCCAAGCACCAGAGTCCCTTCAGAAAAGCTCTGGATTTACTGCAGCAGGGTCTGACAGTGTGCTACACTCAGTCCTGGTTCTGGTTCTCCTGTGCTTCCGCTGATGCTCAGCCATCCAGCCTGGGCCCCCAGCAGCGTGGTGTGGGTGTTAGCTCCCAGTGGGGACGGGCAGAGCAGTGAGGAGAAGCTCTGCTCCGAGGAGGAGGAGATGCTGCTGGGCGCGGAGCTCTCCTCCCACAAGGCTTTCTGCCAGAAATCTCCTTCGGTTTAGGCAACAAACCTACTTGGTTAGATTCAGGAAACTCGTGGTCTGGGTTCAAATAAACCCTTTCTGGCATAAAGCACTGAAGGCCGATCTGGGTCTGTCCATGGCGGGCTGGTTGCTGCCGGAGGCCCTGCTGGATTTCGAGCTGAAGAAGTTTCTGTAAATCTTTCTTCTGACTTCGCAGTCAAACTGGACCCGATGACAGCATTAAGAACGACCATAAAGAAAGAGACAATCTTCTCTCTGATGATAGGTTTACTGCTGAGACACCAGTAGCCGATTAAACTGAGACTATTTCATAAGCAGTTAAAGTATGAACGAATATGGCATTTTACAACGTACAACACAGACTTCCTTGAGGGGAATAAGAGGTCCTGCTCTGTAATAACTCACCATTGTTTTTCATTTTCAGGTTGTTTACTTTTATCAGAACTTGTTGGGTTTCCAGCATTCATGAGCCAAAACTCTTCAATGAGAAGATCCGAGCCAAAAGCAAACCTCGGTGGATGAATAGAAGTGTACCTGAACCAGGTGTTCTTACCTGTAGGGTGTAGGAGACAGAGACCTGGACCTCTCCAGGATAACCCTGGTCTCCATCTGGACTGGTGAGACTCAGCTGTACACCCCCCTCCACTGCTGTAGCAAGCCAGATAGCCTGAAGAGACAAACTCATACATGCAGCATCATACAGCAACTACATGAATAGGATTATAAAGTGGAAGTTGTCATTGTTACAAGAGATCAATAACAGCTTATGTCAAATAAAATACTCCGGAAGCACAGAGGTCACAGTGGATATACAACTCCTTTATTTTTGTATAAATATGAGGTCTGACTTTAAATCTGCAGGTGGACATCTTCAACACTTTCAGTGTATTTAGTGCAAAATTCAGTCTCTGTTTCTCAGGACAGTGTTTCCTTGCTGAACGTCATTAATGTGACGGTAATAAAAAGAACAGAATATACCCACTTTAAGACTGACAGTGATCAGCTTTAGCTGAACTTTAGAATCCATTTACACACAGAGGGAGAGGACTGTGGATACGTTGGACTAGTATTAAAGCTGGAGTGAGGCACTTTTACATAGAAATGAATGTCCGATTCATTCAAGCCCGTCACATAATGCAGATTAAGCCTATCGCCCTCTGTAGTGTCCGCAGCATACTGGATTTAAGGTGCCTGGTGTCCGCAGAGACTTTCCCCGCGCTGTCGCACCCATGATGCGTTTTACATTAATCGTCCCGGCCTCCACCAGCTACACAGGGCTTAATAACCACACGGTCTCCCCCGCCGTCGCCAGCCTCAGAGCTATTAATAGCTCGCTGAATTAGTCTGTCAGAGTGCTACAAAGGTCAGGACAACCTTTTAGATGAGGCCTTGTAGATATGATGTGAGTGAAGATGGACTGGCAATGTCTCAACTCCAACTGGCGGACTGCTGAGGAGAAATAGCTGAAAGTTTACGAGCATACTGAGCTCGTCTCCAAATCATGCGCATAGGATCGTGGGTGTTTTAGGAGCACAGAGGATACACACATGCAGCGTTGAACATCCTCTGAACGAAGGACTCGGTCCTCAGTAGAATCCAAAGGATCCTGGACAGTGGAACAGTCCTTCAGAGCATCCTTCAAACTCAGGATCTGTCCTTAATGAGCCAGTTCGCCTTCAGGGTAAATGAGCAGACTGCTGCTTTTAAAGCTAACCATCACTCATCGCCTGATTGATGTAGTTTAACCGGTGTGTTGTTAACAGACATCATATGTCATTATCACGTTCATGAAATGTACGTACAATCGCTCTGCTCCTCACCCACGGCCTCGTCATGGAAGTGCAGCTCCGCTTATCCCTCAGGTAAGCACTATTGGATCTGTCAGCACTGATGCTGCTGTTAGCACTTTTAGCATCTTTAGCTAACCATGTTGGGAGCCGTGTGGGGTAAATCCCTCAATCATAGAGATGCTCTAAATGTAGCACCTTTATCGATCCTATTGCTCTAGCGCCACCTTGAGGTTGACATTTGAGGTTTTGACCATAGACTGTGTATAAGAAGTGGACGTCGTCATCGTGATGTCAATCATTGGTTTGTGGACTGACATTATGAAGCCTCGAGTTCGGCGATTTTCTGCGTTGTTTTTTTTGCAGGCAAATAACGGAAGTAACCATATTTGTATACGTCTCTGGCAGAGACCTGTCAATCACAGTAGCCCCGCCCTAAAGCATCCCCTGCTTTATGGTCTGTGTGACTCTAAATGGACCATAATGTACTAAATGAACATCATGCTGTATTGAAGAAGACTTGAAACTAGAGATTGGGACCATAAACTCATGTTTACAATGTTTACTGAGGTAATAAATCAAGAGAGAAGTAGAGTCATTTTCTCATAGACTTCTATACAACCAGAGGAGTCGCCCCCTGGTGGACATTAGAGAGAATGCAGCTTTAATACACTTCAGCATCGGCTTCACTTTTCAGAACCGGAGGTTGCCGCCTGGTTTTGAGTGAAATAACTTGACTGTTGGATGGATTGCCCTAAATACAGCCTCACAGAGCTGGCTGAACAAAATAAAAATTAACGTTAACCATCACAGTGTAACTAAAGTTTCACTGACTCAGTAGAACATGTGTTTCTAGTCTCTGATCATGTTTCATTGTAAACAACCAATCAGTGTTTAAAGCAACAGGAGGAGAGCTCGTAACGTTAGCAGCACCGCTAACGGCTAACCAACGGAGGTTCACTAGTTACATTATGATGCCTTCAGGCTCTGCTCAGTGAAAATGAGTACTGGCTGAAGGTAAATTATAACGTTATCATGATGTGTTCACATGTAGTTTTGGTGATAAACTTGAATAAATCCAGTAGTTTGAAGGAGATGTTTTTACATTAACATAAATATATATTAGAGATGAATTATGAGCCGTTTACACTAATAATACATCATTAAAACTACTAATGACAAGATTTGTTTTAATCAATATAAATACAATCTTTTATTTCCTTATCATTTGAATAGTGTGTTTATATGAAGAAAAAACCCACTATCAATTATTTTAATAAAGTAAAATGATAACATTTATAATTTTTGATGGTTTACAGACTTCAGAGCGGTTGAAATCATTTTTAGGACGGTGGTAAAAAAGAGACTGGATCCGTGTCGACCAGCTGCTATAATCAAACAACACAGGGATCTGTATCTGGTAATATGGATCATCAATGATCAATGATTACTATCAGCGGCAAACAAACACGATCAGGGATCTAAAAGTTATATTTGCTCCCGTTTGTCTTTTATTGCGATCAGTGATCCGATCCGCGACTCCGATGATCCGTTTTATGATTCGTTGCACCACTATGGATAACATATTATACTCAACAGAACTACCTGTCTAAACTTACTGTATCTTCTCATGTTTTCTTACTGGTCAGAAAGCTACAGAGGGAAAGCTACAAGCACACACGGGTAAATTGTTCAGGGCAGCCTTCCATGTCTCAGCCAAACCTAATGGAATAATGGGTACCTTATTGAAGCCCCGCAGCCCTCCATGCAGTGCATTGGGTCCATTATTGACATCTAGTCGGTACTCCTTCCCCTCCACCACAAAGCGTCCCAGTGCGATCCTGTTGGCCACGCGGCCCACCACAGCTCCCAGGTAGCGCTTATCTGACACGTAACCTGAAAACACAACACCGTATTCTTCTTCACCCTCACCAAAGCAATGCGTGGTGCTCTTTCTCCTCACTTACTCCCACTATTGTTCTATCAAATGCAACTTGATGAAGTATTATTGTCAGCACACTGTTTCTACTGACATTTAAAGCTACCAAACAAACACGGTCGCTTCTGCATGGCATGATGCAACACGTTTTTAGGTAGGGAATGAATGCCATCTAAAGAAAAATAAAGATATCCATGAGATCACATTATTTTAGGAAAGTAAGTTCATTTGCTTATTGTGTAAAAGAAAAGCAGACAGAGCACATGAGGACATGTGTGTCTCCTTCAAAATGACTGACAGAGCGTCCCTACCCCACGTATAGTGTCTCATACTTGAATTCAGGACCCATGGCAAACATTTCATCCGTGTTATCCATTTCATTTGATGTATTAAATGTGCAGCTGGGGCTGGGAGGAGAACACTATGAAGCCATGAAGGTTGGGCTCGTAGTACAGGCAAGAACTTCAACCTACTTTCACCCCTGGTTTCAACAAAGCAAGAGGCTTACTGCATTTCTGTGATTTGAATGTGATCATCACAGCAGAATAAACGTAAATATGAGAAAGAACCTAGGGATGAACAAAACTGGTAGCTAGCTACCTCCTTCTCCTAATATAGAATAAATATGTCGATGCAAATAAAGCCGCATAGAAGGAGGATCCTCTTAATACAGGGGCGAGTTCATCTGTCCTGTGATCAGAGAATGGTCCCTCTAATGTTTAAATGTGTGGGCAGCCCAGCAAACCTTCAACACACAGCATTTACAATTATTATGTAATTGGGAAATCTTATTCCCTTTGATTATTTTAATGCAGTCTATTGGGAGGAAAATAAATATTCTCCTTACTATACCTTCCAGGTCATCATAGCCCAGGACTACGTCTTCCATCCGTCCATCCCTCCCTCTGCTGCACACGGACCTGATGATGGCACCCAGGGTGAGGACCTCCACGCGCACCAGAGAGGACTGGAGGACCCACAGGTCCACACGGCCCAGCCCGACCACCTGTCCCCACTGCTGATGGCTCACCTGAGTCATCCTGGTCACAACCACAAGCAGACCGTCACCTTCACATCACTCTGAAAATGTTCTTTTCCCTCAAATCTCATCCTGCAGCTAAAGTTACACTGCATTGGTCGTGCACCTCTGAATTTTTGTATCACGTGCAGCGTGATCACATGACTGTCACAAATAGTTCACTGATAAAAACACTATTTACATTTCCAGGATTATACAAAGACCAGTTTGTTTGTAGATGCTTTAGAAACAGGTCTTCAAAATCTACATTTGAGATAATATTTTGCAGCCAACAGGATATTCAACCTTTGCTTCTTCATAATGAATTTAATAATTAACTTTCTTCTTCACAGGTCTTGTATAAAGATAATAAAGCAGTCCATGAATATGAAATATGAGTTTACAGAGAGTCACAATCCCTCTTCTCTATAGTGGAGGTTAGTTTATATGGGTTAGGGTTACACCTACAGTCTATGGTCATATCTCTGAGTTACACTCGTTGTCTTTTAATTCTTCACAGATCATTTTGTTTGTGCGCCCTCTGGTGTTCAGGAGAATAATGCAGCGCACAGTGCGGAGAGTAAACGCCTCAGTTCATATTATATATATAACTTCTAATCAGGGTCATTTCATGCTAGCGTTTAGTTTAGTGACCCTGTGGAGGCTGTGACGTTAACACATACTATAACAATATACTACTACTACTACTACTACACTACTACACTACTACTACCACCACCACCACGACACGTCCTCTTAGAGCCGGACCACAAACAGTTAAACACTCACACCAGACTTTGGTGTGTCGGCTGCTTGCTGACCGTTGTTCACTACAGAGTGTGTGAACTTTGTGTCACGTCTTTTTGTTGTAATCTACACATTTGACAAACGGTTATCTGTTCACGTTCCACCTGTCGCTCACCTCGGGACAGTTTAGACGATCGAGTCACGTGAGCATGGATGTGCAACAGGATGGACACGTCTTGGCGGATGGGATACCCACGATGAAAGGTGCATACCGCCACCTACAGTACCGGGTGTGTAGATTCACGAAGACTCACAACCGGCTTAGTTCAGTAGAGTCTTCTTCTTCTGCTACGGGACTGGAGTGTCCAGTGGACTCCAGTGTTCAGTCGTCTTATCGATTGCAGTGCTTAGGGCGACTCGTGGGGTACAACAACGAACGCCCACTTTTTCTTCTTCTCTACTGTCTAAATGCACAGCCGCGTGCACAGCTGGACTGCTGCTAAAAATGTCTTTTCCTAACAACATTTCCTTGACCTCGATGGAAAACGTTATCTTTGGGAAAGATCACAAGGATTTAGGAAAATCCAACTGCACTTCCACAGTGCTATATTATTATGGGTTAGGGTTAGGTTTCAAAAAGTATTCTTTGCATTTGCTTCTAATATGCCGGTCATCTTAATAAAACAGGCTAAAGAGCTCCTTTAATGACAGGCTGAAGAACCCGCGTTGTGTGAAGGAGATACTGCTCCTTCTTCCGGCTGCTGTCACGCTTTACCATCAACACTGCTCCAGTAGATCGCACAAACCAAAACCAACGCTTCCCTCATGTGCAATATTAATGAAACTGTCAAATATCAATATTTCCTATGTGCAATAATGTGATTTTAACTGTTACTTTTACTGTTTAATTGTATTAAAGGGCTATCTTTATTTATTTATTTTCCCTTCTTCTCACAGCTCTGTCCCCTTTCACTGCAAATGTACCCCCCACCCCCCCAGGTACTTCTAAAGTCTTATGTCATCTCAAATGTGGACAGCCCGTGGTAAAAATATCACTTCATTACTAAGGTTGGAATTGGAAAAAAAAGCTTTGTGAATGGGACTGCTGGACTTTTTAAACAGAATTCCTTGGAGTTGAGGGATTACCCCGGGGTCTCCCTGTGGTGGGTAATGTCAAATGAAAGCCTCAAAATGCACCAACTTCACCGACAGTCTACCGAATTATTGAAATTGAAAACTTGGCAGCCCTGCCAATATGCTAGCAAATTGTATCACGCTTTTGTATTTAACACATTTTTTGTTGTTGCATGTTGCTTTACCATATGAATTTAAATTGCAGTTGGAGAACTTTAAATCATTCTTATTTGGAAATGCAGTGCAAAGAATGCCTTCCTTGCACAGGTGTTGGTTAGATAAGTTCTTCATCACTAATGTGTGGCTTAGTGGTTGTTTTTTTATCAGGAGATAAAAACTAATTATTAATCAACCATGAGTCACCCTCACCCTATCATACATGTCAATATATTGATGACAATAAGCTCAACACATTTCATATTCATTTATTAAAGGAAACAAACAAACAATAGACATCTTTTCGGGGAAGACATTGCATGACTTTATTATTATCTCTCTAGAACATAGCTCAGAAAATGTCAAAAATGCCCTCCCTGAAAAATATACAGATTTGTTCACAGATTTAAAGTGATATCTAGTTATGTATACTGAATATGTCAATACAGATATTACATAAAACATTATACAGAACTGCTGCTTCATGTCCATTGCCAGATTTTTCACTTTACGTTGTGTAGAGCACACATGCTCACCATTTCCTCTGCTTACTCAACTATAAATGCACACTGAATTGCTTAGAACACTGTATATACAATAATGTTGTGCATGTGGCTTCTTCACTTTGTGCTTCTTGGATTCCTCCATGAGATGGAGAACCATCAAGTTTGCTGTAGACTATAACATCAATCAGGAAGCTTTCTTTAGAGAGGTGTTAGCCATGGCTATTACTGTTATGCTGGAGCTGCATGGACGAGCAATTGGATAACTGGTTAATTGTTTAGATGGTAGCAAAACAGTTAGTAAAAAACCTTTACCAATCAAAGTCCATGCCTAACCTCAACCATTGGAGGACAATGCCTAACCTCAACCATTGGAGGACAATGCCTAACCTCAACCGTTGGAGGTCAATGCCTAACCTCAACTGTTAGAGGTCAATGTGTAACCTCAATCATTGGAGGACAATGCCTAGCCCCAACTATTGGAGGACAATGCCTAACCTCAACCATTGGAGGTCAATGCCTAACGTCAACCGTTGGAGATCAATGCCTAACCACAACCATTGGAGGACAATGCCTAGCCCCAACTATTGGAGGACAATGCCTAACCTCAACCATTGGAGGTCAATGCCTAACCTCAACCGTTGGAGGACAATGCCTAACCTCAACCTCAAGCATTGGAGGACAATGTCTAACCTCAACCATACAAGGCCAATGCCTAACCTCAATCAAAGTCTGCAGGAAGGATTGTACTGTTATTAATACTACTGTTTCTTGACACTAAATTAATTGTACTGAAGACACACCCTCTGTGGCCATCACGCCCAAATTAGCAATAAGTAGAAACTAACGCATTAAGTATTTACAAACTGGTTCCTGCCATTAAGTTAGCTCCCATAGAAAGAGTCTTTTCTTCTCAATATCCCAGCATATCCAGCACAATATGCAGGTTTTTCTAGTATACTGTGAACAAGACTTCAGGCTGACAGAGCATGATTCCTCTGCATGGGATTATAAGTAGTACCAGAAGCTATGTTGATTTCTTCTAACCATGTCCAACAATAACCAAATAGTTCATTCTTTAACTATGCGACAACAAAGGTTCATTAAGCATAACCAAGTTGGGTTGGGTCATGATATCACTACTAACCTAAGGCCATGCAGATGTATTACTTGTTATTGTGGCTCCATTAATAGTTCTGTTTGACACGATTCAGAATGACAGTGGTGATTTGCAGCGTGGACAGTATGGTTTAAAGCGCTTTGATGGTGGCTGAGCTGGTTATGTAGGTTTCAGCCCATTAAAAACACCTCAATCTTAAAGTACATTTTAAACCAATAAAGATAGCAAGCAAGCCCAAAGCACTGCACATTCAAATTGATATTAACAATCTCAGCCAGTGTTTCTATTTGTAGCTGGAGTCATTCAAATTAATTCATTAAATTCTAGCAATTCTAACTTCATATTTTGTACAAATCCTTCGTGTTGGTCATGTGATGACAACGGCGCCATCTCCATGACAACAGAGACAAATAGAGAGAGAGACTGAACTTCATGTGATGTACTTGCAGCTGAGCTTGTACTAAAAGAATAGATATTAGCGTAGAAAGTTTAGGAGTAAAACTCCGTGCATACCAAATGGTCATCATAGGCTTGCATCCCATCAGATGAAATGTTTTCCTCTAGTATTTTTGAACTTCTTCCAGTGGAGCCCAAAGAAGGTGACCACTTTGTTCCAGAACAAGATACCACAAAAACTACAGGCCATGACAACTTATTTTGATAACTAAAGACGGGATTTTCAATAACAATTTATGTGGATACATCATCCAAGGAAGCTGAATTCTTCAGATTTTGCAGAACCCCTGAATCTTCCTCTATAATGCCACAACTAACAGCCTTTACACACAGGCGGTTTTATCTTTGTGCAATTAAATGTCAACATATTAACATGGGTACCTTTGCACAGAACACAAATATTACATGGCAAAAAAGGCAGCTGTGTCAGCTCTAAAGAAATGTCTGGCGTCACAGATTGTTGTTCTGGTAAAGAGGATAAAACGCTCTGGTTTGTTTGCAATTCTTTAAAGCAATCACAATGGACTTGGGCGGAGCTAAGCACAGGATGCAGCGAAGGTCTCACAGTCTACATCCAGTGAGTCTTTTTTCATGCAGAACGGACATATTCCAAATGTACACTATAGTGTGCAACATCCCAAACCAAGATGGAAAACTTCATTGCACCATTCAACCTTGACAAAGGCAGCGCATACCAGATCCACTCCTTCTGCTTGACATATACACTGTGTAGCTGTTAACTAGAGGGAACTCAAAGTAACTCAATAAAATATCTAACTGCCGAATGCTTCTCTGTGTGAATAGGATCTTGGTAGTTGTGTTCAGGAAAAGGTACGCCGGTATGAACAGTTTTGATATGAAATATTTGCATATTGTCATGTCGGTTATTCATCACTTCCCCACTGTGTAAAGGCCGTAACACTACATTTACTGTGCATTTGTATTAAAGAAATGTCAAAATCTAATAGACAGTTTTACCATCAAATGTACTAAGCACATTCATGCTCCCCAGACACTAACCCTTTCGTTTTTGGACACCTTAAACTTTTTTGCAAACTCTACCCTTCGTCCAAAATGTCAACTTTGCGCAAAGGATGTCTCATAATCTATCCGGTAGATATCCATGGAAAAAGTTGAGTACATTCATGCTCCTGATCGAATGAACCCCTTGATTTTAAGTCTTGCTTGTCCGTAATTAGTAATTATTGCAACACAAAATCCATTTTATTAGAAGCCATTGCAATATTTAGCAGTATCTGTGCAGTAAGATTATTTGAATTAAAGTATGCCATTGAATATACCTGGTCTCACTCCTAACTCGTCAAATACCAACAGTTGGTCAGCGCTCCTCAGTCTGATACTGACACACCAAGGCACCCTTTAGTGTCTGTGTGAGACACACCGGGCTTTCAACTGACTCCAATTTAAACCCATCTGCGTCATTAGTCGATAGTCAGAGCAACTGAGGTATTATAAAGCGAGGGATGGCCCACACATGGCAGGCAGGAAGTGAAGGGGTCAAACAAACACAGGACTTTTGTCCAGGAGACCGCTGTTCGTGTCCCTTGCGTAACTAAATGTAAACATTAATATTTTGTCGTGAGTCATTAGTACATTAGTTACATGACTCGTTAATAACTCGCTAGTCTCTGCCAGTGTATGAATATCGGTGAACGGGTGTTACATATAGAGTAAAAGCGCTTCGAGTGGTCGGAAGACTAGAAAGGTGCTATACAAATTCAAGTCCATCAACCATTTAGTGACTTAATAGTGATGTGTTGTTATTTAGTTAATGTTTACGTAAACCGCACTTTTTCTACACCTAAACAGGTTGGTTGTGAGGATGAGTTATTGAGTAAGCCGGTTAATCCGTTCAGCAGATGAGATCCATTGTTTATGCAGTGTGCTGGTTTAGCTGGTGTCGCTGAGAGTGGCCAGTATGGAGCTGGCCTGCGAGGCAAGTTTACTGCTGCTGTGATCTGTCAGTAGACTGAGGCTTTCCTTCATGTTCACAGAGTTCAACTCCACCTTCATCACACCTGGAGCAGACAAGGATGGAAAGAAGAAGAGAGAGAAGTGTGAGATAGATTCCAACTACAGCCTATGATTGGACCACACTTGAAGCTCCATTTTAGGATCAGTCTAAGAGAAGACTAATAAAACTGTCACAACCAGTGTCCTTTCAGGTCACACTGTTCTCATACACTGTTCGTAACTAAACCTACAAAAAGTAGCCGTATATAACCCATAAAAACCTATATATAACTCTTTTCCAGAAGGCCAAGAAGGATTGTGATGCTGCAGTTGAGGCAGTTACGTGGTGAGTGAGTTAATCACCAAAGCAGGAAAGCCGTTCACCGAAGGGCAGTTTCTGAAGGATTGCATGTTGCTGATATTCTGTGTCCAGAAAAGAAGAGCTTGTTCAGCAATATCTCTCTATCGGCGAACACAGTGGTAGAGCGGGTTAACGAGCTATCGAGTGACATATATGACCAGTTACGCATAAAGCCAGAGGTTTCACTGCATACTCCGTGGTGCTTAACGAAAGCACAGACAAAACCGACAATGCCCAGCTAGCCATTTTCATCAGGGGTATTAATGACCAATTCGAAGTGACAGAAGAATTGCTGAGTTTGTGTCCAATGCACGGTCGCACCACAGCCAAGGATATTTTCCAGAAGCTGTGCGACGTGATTGAGCGCGCTGGTTTACCGTGGAACAGACTGGTGGGCATTACCACTGATGGAGCCCCGTCAATGACGGGCAAAAAAACGGACTAAAAAACGGACTGGTAGCGCTGGTACAAAGACAGTTAGAGGAGGAAAATGCAGATCCAGCAGTTGTTCTGCACTGCATTATACACCAACAGGCACTGTGCAGCAAATGCTTGAAGTATGAACATGTCATGTCTGTTGTCCTGAAATGTATCAATTACATCAGGTCCAGGAGTTTACAGCACCGCCAGTTCAGGGCCTTTTAGAAGAGATTGAGTCAACTTATTGTGATGTACTTTACTTTACTGAGGTGTGCTGGGGGAATGTCCTGAAGAGATCTTTTTATTTAAGAGCAGAAGTGAAGAAATTCATGGAAGATGGCAGAATGGATGTTCCTGAACTTGATGATCCAAGATGGGTTATGGACCTTGCATTGCTAGTGGACATAACACAAGAGCTGAACATCCTTAACCTGAAGCTCCAGGGCCCTGGTCACAGCAGTCTATGAAAATGTGAAAGCCTTCTCCACAAAACTGAAATTGTGGAAAACTCAGCATTCTGCAAAAAATCTCAACCATTTCACAACATGCAGATGTGTTGTGGATGAGGGCACAGCATTCAGTGGTGGATATGCCTGTACTATTGAAAACCTACTGCAGGAGTTTGATCAGCGTTTTGCTGACTTCAAGGCACGTCGTGACACTTTCCAGCTGTTTGCAGACCCCTTCTCAGCTGATGTGCAGAGTGTCCCAAGTAGGTTGCAAATGGAACTTATTGACTTGCAGTGCAACAGTGATCTGAAAGCTACATTCAGAGCGGCTCAGGGAAAACCGGACATGACTGGACAGTTTATGAGAGAATTACCTCCATCCTTCCCTGAGCCGACAAAAGTGTTCAGTCGGGTAATGTGTCTTCTTGGAAGCACATATCTGTGTGAGAAACTTTTCTCGACTGTGAACTTTAATAAAGGCACGTACAGGTCCTGTCACGGGACATAAAGAGGACTCAAATGCAGACAGTCAGGTGAAGAGAAAAAGGGTTTAATAATAAACCAAAAACACACAGGGAATCCAAGGACAAGAAACGAGGTGGAAAATCCGGCTGGAGAAGGCAGAACAGGCAGGCTGAAAAACCGGGAACAGGACGAGCAAACCGGGCGGGTAGGTAGAAAACAAACACAATGATCTGGCAGTGAGTGAGTGAAAGACAGGGGTTTAAATAGTGACTAGAACAGGTGAGGAGAGTTGTGCTGATGAGGGAGAGTGTGACTGGCAGGTGCACTGAATGAACTAATTAGGGACAGGTGAAGGAAGTGAGGAGCTACAGAAAACCACACACAAAACACACAAGGCAAAGCCTGATTGTGACAGGTCCAGGCTTAGTGATGCCCATCTTGAGGCTGTACTCAGGGTTTCTACTGTGACCTCGATCAGGACAAATGTGGCTCAGCTGTGTGAGCAGAAGCGCTGCCAGGTGTCTGGCAAGAAATAGAATAAAGTACAAACGTATTCAGGGATTGCAATTGTTGGTTCAAGTGCAATGTTTCAATAAGTTATAAAAAATGGGGCAAAAGGAAAAAATATTTGCACTGTTAAAAACTAATATAAAAATGTAGAGAAACTGCTGGGTGCATTTATTTGTTAAGTATGGCAAAAATATGTTAGTATTGTAAAAATAAAAAAAAATAAAAATTTTCCAAAATATTGCGCTTTCTTATAGTACCTGAACGTTGAAGTGGCCCTCCTATGAGATGCCAATACCAGCAGTGGCCCCAAGCCAAATTGAGTTTGAGACCCCTGTGCTAAAACATCTTGAATGTGGTGGAACAGAATGTTGTGAATATGTGCCGTAAAATCAAACACATACTGGAGTTAGCCAGGCTGCAGATGAGACCTAAAGCACTGAACTTGACTTCGACTGCCCCAACAGGATCCTCCAACATCTTCTTCAGCATGGGCAACAGCTCTGCCTCCCTAAACGGCTCCTTCACAGACTCTGTAGTCACACACAAAGAAACATATCGGTGAACACACATGTAAATGCATTACTAAATGAAGATGTCATGTCATATACCTTAACAAATGTGTCAACTACCTTGTGTCATGAAACCTAACTGGCGTAGATCGAAGTGTTTCTGGTGTAGCACATTGATTTCATCTGGCTGCACCCGATGAGCATGGGAGGGTCTGCCCCCGGCCTCAACTCAGCTCAACTTATTCATAGAGCACCTTTCATACAGTCACGCAGCCCAAGGTGCTTCACAGAGGAAGATTAAAATAGCACAGACAACTAAATAAATAAATCAATAACAGAATGTTGTAGACTAAAGATTTAAACAATAAAATCACTAAAATAGGCTCAAGAGATAGAAATAGTACCAAAACCAATGACTAAGACTTTAAAACTAAGGCAATAAATGATGAGGCACATTAAGTAAAAGCCAGGTTAAAAGATCTGTCTTAAGATTTCTTTTAAAAGTGTCCACAGAGGAGAAGTCCCTCAGATCCTTCAAACGGCTCCAGACCAGACACACAGGGGACCACCTGAGGGCCAGCTGCAGAGGATCTGAAGGACCTGCTCTAACAAACATGTCTGAGAGATAGGCTGGTGCCAGACCATTCATTGATTTCTACTACTATAATATATAAAAATCAATTCTAAAGACTGATGACTTTAAATAGTCACCACAGTGGAAGGCCATTGGTCATCTTACATGTTCTATGGTGTTGTTTTTAGTCCTGGGCTGATAATAAACCAGAGTGCTGCTGGTTGTCACTCACACGTCAGCTTGTCCTTCTACTTTAGTTAGAATAAAACGACTTGCGTATGATTTGCCTGACTTCTTTTTTGGGCTTAAACATATATATATAAACATCACTTGGTTCGTTGTTTAAATTGTTTAAAACTAAAACCACGAAACAGAAAATCTAAAACTTAAATTATGTTGCATATCCACACATACATATGCACATGGTGTACTTTGCAAAGCATGTAAGTTACACAAAACAACCAATGAGAGGTCAATGAGATGCAAATAAAGTCACATGCAATAGAAACATGGCACAATAGAGTTAAAGGTAACAGAGGAATCCCACAGACATGAACGGCATGTTTCGAGCCAGATGAGTTACTGAAACAAGATTCTCCTCCTTAAGAGATTTAAAGTTTCGGTCCAAACCCGTTACAGGATCCAGGAGGTCCGATATGAAAAGGTTGACTGTACTTCTCAACATAAAAAGAACTAGGAGGTATTCTGACATGCTTCTGAAATGTGGGCCTAGAACCTTGTCTCTGAAATTGCTTTACCAATGTCAATGGCAGATGCTATCGCCAGGGCAACCAAGGCCTCGTTCTGCATGATGACATGTTCACTTGTTGCCATGGAGATAAGGTGCCGAACCCCATCTGCTTTGGCTACAGCATGGACAACTTCCTGTCAGACAGAGGACATCAACGCATTACAGATGTTCAGTTAATGTGTTATACACAGTATATATATATATATATATATATATATTATAAACACACACTGTCATTATGTTAAGCTCAAACACATTACTAATGCTAATGCTAATGCATTGCTAACTTGCATTCAGATGAGAATTCATGGGCTCACAGGGTTGCGGCTGTGTCTGATGAAGGCAGCCAAGAGGCGACTGGCTTCTCCCCGCACTCCTGCGTGGTCTTTGGCTTCACACCACTCCATGACTCGAGCCAGCAGCACAGCGTCCCTCCCCAGCACCAAAGCTGCCTCCTCTGACACACACAGCAGAGCAGAGAGAAGGGCAAATACATGTAAACACGTTCACAGTACAGGGAGCATGGTGCTAGATGAACTATATTATAATCAAATGGATTCATTGATGGGCATTTTTCACTATTTCCTGTGTTACAGATTAAATGATTAATCGATTTATGAAGAAAATAACAGGCTTGTTGTTCCAAGGGACAAGAGAGAATGTAAATAGAGCCGGTAAACTGTAAAGGTCTCACTGTTTGTATGCTGGGTTGTGTTAACCTCTGTTTGTCTATTGACAAGAATCTGGATCATGTCTAGGGCTACTCTTAAAGGAACAATAGACAATAATGTTGGGAACAAAAAGGAGCGTGTTTGAGATATCAGCATATATGAAAACTAAATGATTGACATCAATAGAATTATTAATGTCAGTAACAATTATTAATGATTATTAATAATAACAGGGCACCACCCTGTGAACAGGGACCAATAACCAAACTATAAACTAAGTCTCATAATTAGTGTTCACTCACAATGTCAATAGTCTGAGTACTATTACACATTCAGAGTGAAAGTTAAGGTTTAAGTTCGAGCACAGACCACATATACAGCTATTATCACAATACACATGCACAAAGTAATCACAGACAGCTGCTCTTTAAAATATAACAGAGTTTATTACGTTCTAATACTAATGATCTAGTCAACTAATATCTAAACTAACAACAACTATACATTCATGAGCACGCTATCTAAAATCAACAAACGGTGGGTAAGAGGGAGTGTATGTGTGTGTGTCTGTGTGGATGCAGTGTGTGCGTGTGTGTGTGTGTATGTAGTGTGTGTAGGGGGGAGGGGCGAGTGAACAGCTCAGACAATGTATGACGTAATCTGAAACGTGGCGACGTCTCTCGTGAGACCACAAGATGACGCGAGACTCTACGATGGCGGTAGACAGTAGAGACCTCGTTACCTACACGTGTCTGAAGCCGTTAGCACAACCCCGGAGCTACATTAGCTTAAAGCTATGTGTGTGTGTGGGTTAGTAAAAGAAGAGAGAAAGCAAACAAAACAAAAGGGTCCTCCAAAAACAGATTAAGATCCTCCCCGCCACGGTGGAGTATGGAAGATTGTTCTCTCATCTACAGAAACAGCTGGAACAAAGGCGGCTTGGGTGGAGAGGGGAAATGTGCTTCTCTCTCTCTGAAGAATCGGTTTCTTCACTTCTGCAGGAAAATTGTCCACTTCCTCTTCCACGAAGGGAAACATAAACAAAACAAACAGTCCAGTAGATTTGTCCAGCGAATATAAAACTGTATAAAACCTAGAATGTTCTGTTAAACACAGCAACGGTGCAGGCTTCTTTTCACCGACACAACGTCAGCGGGATGAGCAAAGTAATCTGGGGCGCTAAGTGGGTTTATGAGCTAGCCACTTCCGGCCGTAAAACCGGAACTCCCGCCTCGGCATCCCTGGGCTCGTCCAATGAGCAGCGCTCCACCAAACTACCTCAGAGTTTCGCAGTTAGGTGTGAAATTGTTTCTGGTGGGGGTTTGGTGCTATCTAACTGCATTCAGGCTCTGCCTTGCTTGCAGAATAGGCAGGCCCAGATCCTTTTGTTTCAAAGCACACGGCGAGGCACATGGTCAGATCCCAACAATATTCAGATCATTAATATCTCATCAACAACTATCATCTATGTAAAGATATAGAGGAGTAATGTCTATCTGAGCAGAGAATGAAGTCTCTCCCTCTGTGTGTGTTGTTATCAGAGCTTCTACTCTCTTTGTTCACACAGTCGCCTGGTTGCGTGACTTTCTGGTTAGCTCTACACTGCTCTCATATGGCGGTTACAGTTACTGTCAGCACCTTAGCCGTAGTTTGCACTTTTAGCATTGTTAGCAGTGTTAGCTATGGGTCTTGCACCTTAAAGTACTGAATGCTAAACGTGCTCACCTTGTCCGTCCACCATCATGCGTAGTGTACCCAGCAGTTTGAACTGAACTGGCGGCATGTCGGAGCGCAGCAAGGTCTTTATCCTCTCAGTCACCCCGTCCTCCAGCATTCGCACTTTGTTGGTGGCTGAAAGACACAGAGCATCCACGTCAGCTAAGTATAATTAAAATGATAGAATTAAAAAACATTTAAAATCTTTTCAAGTATGTTTACAGTTTTGATGATTTTCTTTTCCTGATTGATCCCATGTCATTTTTCTGACTTTTGGCCACCTTTTGAGGATGACTCAGAGAGTGTTATGTGTTAACATGTATATGGCATGTTTCAGTATTAAACTTTCAAGTGCATATTTGGTCACTGGAACACACATATCTCGACTGTGTTTTGATCAGTACCGGGGATGGCCAGGTTTCTGAGCGCGCTCAGTCCAGCATGTTGAACGGACACGTCTCCTTCGTCGACATGCTGCTCCAACAAGGTCAGGATGTGAGGAACCACACCGAGGTCCAGCATCTTCACACAGTTACTGTCTGACAGAAACACAGCAGGCCAACGAAGACACCTTCAAAACCTGATTACTGTATTACATTACATATACTTCTATATACTATTACATTACATATACTGTACTTCTATATAGTATTACATCATATATATACTTCTATATACTATTATACATATATTTCTATATATTATTATATTACAGATTACTAACAGGATTTTGCTCGCAGCCAATCCCCGCAAGAGCTCTTTGATTTAAATCTGGGTGTGATTGGTCCACTACTGCTGCAGCTACAACCCATCCAGCCGGGATTGCCGGTAAACAGTGCTAACAACGGCAACAGTGCTAACAACGGCAACAGTGCCGACGGACCTAACGACGTTAACCTAAGGGTAGGAGTCCCGCTTCCGCGACAACACAGTCCTGCCACCGTAGGTCGAGAGGGACTGCGCTAACTGCCATATGAGCGCAGTATAGTACTTTTTTACCTACAATGGTACTAATATGCCGTATATAATGACACATGTCAGACATGTTTAACTAGTACATGTTTCTCAACTAAGTTCAATTTGTTTGGCACAACCGGTTGATGAACAGAATGCCTGGAACCTTCTGGTATTGCAGTTACACCCGTTGGTTTGTGGACTGCCATTATGAAGCTTTGAGTTTGACGATTTCGCCGTCGCCATCTTGGATTACGACCGTTGTTCTTTCGCAACCAATAAACGGAAGTTACCATATTTGGAATGTGGAGGAATGACGTAGAGACGCCGTATACGGCTCTGGTAGCAGCATTGACCTCTCAATCACAGTAGCCCCGCCCTACAGCATCCCCTGCTTTATGGTCTGTTTGACTCTAAATGGACCATAATTTACTAAATGAACATCATGCTGTATTGAAGAAGACTTGAAACTAGAGATTGAGACCATAAACTCATGTTTACAATGTTTACTGAGGTAATAAATCAAGAGAGAAGTAGAGTCATTTTCTCATAGACTTCTATACAACCAGAGGAGTCGCCCCCTGGTGGACAGTAGAGAGAATGCAGCTTTAAGACATTTCCGCATTTGCATCAATCTGCAGAACCGGAGGTTGCCACCTGGTCCCTTCACAAACCTGTGATTGATGTCACAGAGATCTGTATTCTTGCCTGAAAGATATATCTTACCGTTCCTGGCGAAGTTGGCGATGGCCAGGGCTCCGGACAGCTGTAGCTGGGTGTTGTGGCTCTGTAGCCATGACAGAACATCCTGATACACCAGACCTGATCCCTCACCAAAACACTTCTGCATGGACTCATCTGACACACAGACACGGACACACATATCTGTGTTTTAAACAAGATCTTTATAATCCTCACAAATGGCAAATTATTTCTTCCAACAAGCAGCTCTGACATTACTTTCCCTGTATAATAATATATTGTATTATATGGGTGATTTGCTGCATATTAATGAGGTAATCAAATCACTAATAGATCAACACTGGTGCACAAACATCAGAGATTTTTGCTGTACACAGAGACATAATAGTGTCTATGCTATGATTGGTCAGTCTGCATTCGAAGGGTGGGATTTAGCGAAGGGTTCATTCTGATTATTTAGGCTCTAGTGTAAGCTATTTGGTCCTTGCAAATTAAAAAGGATGATATGATTTATTAATATTGGAAAAGATATATTTTTAGTTGTGTTCTCCTCTATCTCCTATTCTGTCTCCGTCCTTAGAAGACCGCTAATGACAGTTAGTCAACACCACATTGATGGTGCAAACTGTCTGAATGCAATGATGGAGGACAGGACAGGACAACAGCTAGTGCCATTAGAACTGGCCAATCACAGCTGAATATGCATTGTTAATTACGTGCATAAAGTTGTTGGATTTCCTAGATCAGGTGAACGAGGTGAAAGACAGACAGAGGAAGCCAAATAAGGAAATGGATACCAACATCCAGAGCTGTGCCACAAGTTGCTGTCACAAGTCCCACCTCCTCTTAGTTTGCAGTTGCACCTGCATCACTCACCTCCCAAAAGCAGGGACACGATGAGGTTGGAGGCGATCTTGATGCTGCAGAGGTCGTGTGGGTCAGAACCTCCCTGCAGACCCTGAATCATCTCTGATAAAGCCGCTGGTACTCCGGACTCTGCAAACTGCAGCTTCAGTGTATCTGGTGGTCCAACACAATTTATCAGCGAACATTATCTTCCAATAAAGTACGACTAATTGAATAAAAATAAATTAATTTATCATCGAGGTGAATCGGTGACACATGTGTGCTGACTCAGCAAAGTTGACATATAGGAGAATACATATTCAAAAGCATTATAGAATGCCCAAGACCCTTACTGCATTATATTTCATTCCATTTTTATATTTTAAATTGTCACCCGTCACTTTGCCATATCTTGGCTTTTGCCGAAACAAAGCCCCTGGTTTGACAATGGGTCTAAGGTAAATATCAAGTCATATTTGTTCAATCTATAAGTCTTCCCTTTTCTTACTGTAGTCTCCTTTCTGTCTTACCGCTCTCGCCCAGTGAGCCCAATATCTCAAGGATGATGTGTCGGCGTTCTGCATCCGGTGCCCGTTTCAGCTGAAAGGTCAGTATACCTGCCACATCCAGCTCAGTCAGGGCCTCCCTCGAAGAGTCTGCAAACATAGGGTTGTGTAACTACGGACGCTGTGGAAGTGACTGAGATATACAGCTCATTTTACACAGCAGCTTTTTGAAATGATGAATTTCCCGCTCTCTGCTTAATACAGGTTTTGTTAACAAGAGACACCCCAGGAAAAAACATTGTTTTTTATGCACAATCAATTTTGAGATTTTTGGCTATTTTGCTTCCATAACTCGTTTTCTTTCAGACCTGCGGAAAGAAATCATCCAGAATACACATTTAGGTGTTTATTTTACTACTTTGTCTACTTCCATCTGTCGATTTCTCCTAAATTCACCAAAAGTTGGCATTAAAGTTTAGTTTCAAACGGCTGGCGAGTACAAGGAGAACATGTAAACACAACCCAGAGATGAACCTATAGCTGTGAGGGATGTGTCTAAATACTGAGACGGTGCAGTTCAAATTACAGCTAATAAATAATGAATTACTAAGATAAATACAAATATAATCACCCATGTCAGCCAGGTTACAGAGGGCCAGCAGGCAGACATTGACCAGGGGCTCGTTCTCTGGATACTCCCTTATAATGGACACCAGTCTGGGGATCACACCGCTCTGGACTAACTGGTCCTGTTGGTATGCTGGGTGGGAGGTGAAAGAGAGAGAGAGTGGAAGTGGTTAAAGTCACACATACGGACAGGTTGTTTGTTTTTATCTTCATTTTAACTTTAAGGTCACTATGTCACGGTGTCATGGTTTTGCTGAAATTATAATTAGGTAACTGATGTGGAAATGAGAAGTGTAACCCAGTCACCAGCAAAAAGTTGGTGTTGCACATTTCTGCGATAACGTTTGCTCAGTTGTCACTTGCTCTCACCGAATACAAAAATGTCGTCATTCAATGTATCCATGGTTTGCACAAAGGTAAAATGTCAACATTTTGTCTGGCGATTGGGCTGATTTCTGAATACAAATCATTCAATTCGAATGAGTCTTAACCACACATAGTTTAACATTTGATAATCATAAGCAAGTCTCTGTAGCCTTCAGAAGAAGGCTGTCTCTGCCTCATATGCACCCTGTTCATCCTCAGTCAACCCTGCTGACTGAGTCAGCGATGTCAGACCAACTCACAGCTGTCGAAGCAGATGCGTCCGATGGCCCTGCCGGTGTTCAGCAGCATCTCCTGGTTATTGCTGCTCAGATGGGGAACCAGCACCTTCACCAGGCCCGCCTCGATGCACGGCTCCCTGACTGCAGCTACAACACACACAAGGAGGATTTAACCTCTTGAAATGTCCCTCAAAGAAAGTCCCTTGAATCTGAGTTGTAAAAAACAATGTGTAGACTCACTCATCACCTCTGACCTACGTCAGTGTGTGGTGGTCTCTGTATCTACATCTGTCCTCTGGCTGGATTTTCTCTTCCCTTCCTAATTTGCTGTGGAGTATTGAAGTTTCTGGATGTCAGCAAACAGCCAATAACAGCAGCAGGCTGTGCAGCCTGTTTAGGTTGTCAAATAGCGTCGCTTTGTCACGTTAGTCGGCACAAACATTGCATCCATGGGCACGACTCCCACTTTAGCTCCATCAGACACAAAGCGGCCGTATGGATGAGAACGGGTTGTTACATCGCCCACAGCCTCTCTCTCGCTCCTCTGCTGTGTGTTTACAGAGCCACACACACTCTGCATTCATTCAGGTTGCAGAGGTGTGGCTGTAAAATAACTGTTTATTTCTCTGATTCAATGCTTTGTTCTCAACATAGACTGTAGATAAGAAGTGGACGTAGTCAGGTGATGTCACCTGTTGGTTAGTGGACTGATATTTTGAAGACTCAAAATCAGCGTTTTGGCCGTCGCCATCTTGTTTGTTTTCAACCAGAAGGGACACGAGAGGATGGAGCTAAGTACAACTGAACGCTGAATAAGACATTTTAAGGCCACCAAAATGTTACAACTAACTTTCATGAAGTAAAAACACACGTGAAAGGCTTAAAGTTTTAAGACGAAAACATGGACAACTCCCAGACCGGACGACGGCGTAGTAGAGACCTGTCAATCACTGTGTAGCCCCGCCCTAAAGCATACTCGCTTTATGGTCTGTTTGACTCTAAATGGGACTCTAATTTACTAAATGAACATCATGCTGTATTGAAGAAGACACTTCCTCGCTAACACTGCTCCCTCTCTCCATTCACTCTATAGCTCACTCGACCATCGGTGCTCTCTCTCTCCCCCCTTGCTTGGACTCTTGAGCCGTGGATGGAGCCAACTTTGAATGCTACGTTTACGGACTGATAAATGTAACATTTTATACCTTTATATTGAACTGTACTGCTCATCATTTTGCAGACATTCGTTCAACATTGCTCTGTTATTCAGCCTGAGTGCTGCTTCTTCCCAGTTTACCACAACACCACCATGAATCTTGTAGAAAAGTTAGTCAAGAAGAAACAATTTTTTTTTACTCTAATTACTCACAGAAAGCATGTCATTTGTGAAGTCATTCATGAAACAGCACCCAGCTTTGTGTACGAGATGTATGCAGCATGGAAGAGAAGTCCCAGTGTCTTCCTCAGTTGTGTTTATTGTTCTCTCTGTGCCTCCTTTCAGCCACATTCCCACTTCCCCGGGCCTCTTCATTGCCATTTCGCTACCTGTCCACCAGACATCTCAAACTCTTTGAACCACTCCCCAATGCTCAGGACCCCCACTTGTCCATGCACTAAAACACTAAAGCAAATTCCTTGCATGTGAAAACCTACTCGGTAATAAACCAGATTCTTATTCTGAAAGTTCTAGAGCAGAATCTAAATGGACCTTTTGTCAATATTGGGGCATTAAAGAGCTGTGGTGATAACACATGTGTAGCTAAGACATTGCAAATTTGATATTACACAAGAACATAACAACTGTTGCTCGGGAAGTTTTTTAAATCTTGGAGGCTGTGCCATGGGTGTGTGAGTGTATGAGCATTTTGTATGGCAGTCTCTGCCAACAGTGTGTGAATGTGTGTGTGAATGTCGACATGTGGTCTACAGTGCCTGTAAAGGGGCTACACAAATGCAAGTCCATTCACCTTTTAGCATCAAAACAGTAACAGTATCCCACCTTCTCTGGCCATCTCTGCCACCACCAGAGCCACCTGGCAGCTCAGGCAGCTTTGGCTCCTTAAGGCTTGAGCCAGTGTGGGTAGAATCCCACTTCTGGCGATCTCAACAGCAGCATCCTTCTCTGTGGACACACAAATTAATTTGTTCAGAAAGAAAACAATGACAGGATATCGAATCCCAGCACACTAGAAATTAAATAACTGTTTTTTAGTTTACACAGTAAAGTCCAGATGTGACTGTGACTCAGACCCAGTGGTTGCATTACAAATACACCAGAACAGATGTTTTGTGGCGGCCTCCTGACATTTCCTCTACTGCCACGATCAGACTTTTACTTTCTCTCAATATATGTGACAGCCTAACAGACCAAGTATGCCACATTGTTTTTTCCTAGGATAGCAATGTCAAGAGCCACCCTCTGGGCATGAGGAGTGAGATTGGTCAGGGTAGGCCAATCAGTGGCAGAGTAGGGCGGGTCATGTCTTCGCCACTCTCTAGGCCGAAGTAATATACACTTGGTGCATGTTCAGTAGATTAAAAAGCAGTTTGGGCTGGTTGTGGTAAGGTTGTGGAAAACAAAACTAAATTAAACTAGGAGTAAATAGATCTACAAGTCAGCTGAAGAAGAGCTAGGCTAGGACCATGTGTTTTGGGCAGCTGGCAGCAAGCTTCAGGCAGGTCTACCTGAACTGCACCAACTTCCACTCCAACCATAAACTCGTCTTTTGGAGACTCCCGTCGCGTCACACACCTCAACCACGGCCAGTAGCAGACCAATCACAGGACGCCGATTGGTCTGAACCACTGTGGCATTAATTGAAACCTGACAAGGTGGATTTTTTTTCTGTGTGGAAGCACAATGCTGTCTATTCCTGCTGTGGCCATCCATGTGAGGGGGCGCACTCAACATATCATTTCCTGCCCAATGTGTTGGGATTTTTATTGTTTCTTAGCACAAAGCATTTTTAAAAAACATTGTAGTGGTGAATCATTTTTTGTTGTCCCAGGCTGCTTTTTCTCTTAATGAATCGAAATGTATTGTATATTATTGAATGAATTGTATAATGTACATTTTTGAACGTAGGTTGGCGCATTCGTGTAAGTGGGGGGATGTGTACAGTACACTTCCAACCACCTGGGCTACACAACTCAGCAAGCAGGGCTACGGATCTAATGTGCAGGCAGGATGGAACAAATAGTAGAACCAAAGAAACGAGAATGTATCTGGCGAGTGTACAACCTGCAATCATAGAGCACGGGTTAGCACCGGGACATTCCCAGAAAACTCATCGATAGCTGTGTGGAAGGTGTGTGTGTGTGAGTGTGAGTGTGTGTGTGTGACAGGTGCGTCACATGACTTACTCTTTTCCAGAAGAGCAGCCAGCATTGTGTCCAAATGCGGCTTGAGCTCCTCTTCAATCAGCTCTGTACTCACACTGATAGCGTTTAGGGCCTCGCTTAGAGAGTCTGCAACACACACACACACACACACACACACACACACACACACACACACACATATACACCATCACCACCAGCAACAAGAACGTTAAAAAAAAAGTTAAGAAAACACCAGATTTAAAAGCCTTCCTTATCCTTACATAACCATTTTTGCTTTACATTAATACATGTATAAGGGGAGACAGCAGGTAAGTACTGCGTTTTTCTTTCACTAATCAATTTTGAAATTTTTGACAGTTTTGCTTCCACAACATGTCTTCTAACAGACTAGTGGAAAGAAAGCACAATACACATTTAGTTGTTTGGTATATTTTTTGTCTGTTTGCATCTGTAGATTTCTCCTAGATCCACCAAAAGTTAGCATTACATAATGCATCATTTGCATATTTAAACATACATTTTCAGAAAATGTGTAAAACAAAAATCAATTGCCTTAATGTAAGTTAACTGGGGATGTTTTATGGCGGTATCTATTGGTTGCTTTTGGTACCCTATTCACCTGCGGTGACCACCTATCTCTTCTTGGCCTAAACCCAACATCCATGTTGGATGGTTCCACACATTACTCCGGTGGGATCCATTATTGTCCAGTACTGCGACCAGCTGATGACTTTTTTCATTCTAACTCGTGGTGCTGCCATCTGGAATGTCAGAATCTTTCATTCAAAAACACTTATGACTACAGAGTGTTTCATGTTGGATACGTGTTCGTCTTTTGTCACTGTGTGTTGGGCTGAAATGTACAGTTCTACATGATGTTGATCAGGATCTTTATCAGGGCTAATTAAGACATTTTTACCAGATTATAATAGGCCATACAAAGCCTCTGGGTATGCCATCTGTCACCAACAACACAATATCATGCTTCATTAAATTACTGGAACATGTTTTTGTTTGTGCTGGGCAGCCTAAATCCTGTTCAAGACAGTATTCCACACTGAAACTCCAATATCTCTATGGATCCGATATATAACACTGAAGACTGACGAAACACCATATGTGAGGAAAGCTCTGACGCAGGAGCAGAAAAAGTGGATCCACTCAAAACATTTTAAAGTAGGCGTATCATAGCTTACCATAGACAGGTAAAGCTATGAAATGATGCACAGCAGGCTGGTGACTCAAACAAATTGAGGAGCACAGGACGAAAACCAACCCACGACGTCATGTTATGTGATTTAGTTATTTCTCTTATTTTGCACCTCCATTTGATGTATTGGCTCAGTGCTGCTTTGCAGTACATGTTATGGGGTGGTTGGGGGGGGGGGCTTAATTAAGCTTAGTTTATACTCGGCGTGGTGAAGATAGCGCCAGCTGCGCTGTGATTATGCTATTTTCTAGTGGTTGCGGTGCTTGGTCGTGCACCTCTGAATTTTTGTATCACGTGCAGCGTGATCACATGACTGTCACAAATAGTTCACTGATAAAAACACTATATACATTTCTAGGATTATACAAAGAAGGTCAGTTTGCTTGTAGATGCTTTAGAAACTTCAAAATCTTCCTTTGAGATAATATTTTGCAGCCCAATCAAAGTGTTCACAGGATGTTCAACCTTTGTTTCTTCATAATGAATTTAATAATTAACTTTCTTCTTCACAGGTCTTGTATAAAGACAGTAAAGTAGTCCATGAATATGAAATATGAGTTTACAGAGAGTCACAATCCCTCTTCTCTATAGTGGAGGTTAGTTTATATGGGTTAGGGTTACACCTACAGTCTATGGTCATATCTCTGAGTTACACTCATTGTCTTTTAATTCTTCACAGATCATTTTGTTTGTGCGCCCTCTGGTGTTCAGGAGAATAATGCAGCGCACAGTGCGGAGTGTAAACGCCTCAGTTCATGGTCGGAGCTCGGTCTGCGGAGGCTCGCACTACGGCGCCAAGCGCGAGTGTAAACAAAGCTTTACACTGGTGTATGACTTTTTATTTTTATTCTATACATCATTTACTGTGGAACGCACTTTGTGCTTAAGCTTGAAAAGTGCTACATAAATACGATTATAGTTACGACTACACTAGTTGGCTACTTATCTCTCCTCTCTCAAATGAATCAGTGAAAAAATGACTTCAAAGATTTCTTAATTAAACCAATCACTGCAAAGAGATGAGACCAGAATGAACCTCGTGAGTGTAACCTGTCACTAGAAGCCTGCCGTTAATGATGTCACGTGGTGTGAGGGACGCGTCATGTCATCGTATCGTTTTAGACCAACAACGTCATTGATGACGAGCCAAAACACGTTGAGATTGTTCCTAAATAAAATCAAATAAGGTCTTCCCTGTTCATCACTTTCGTAATTACTCAAGCCTATTCGCTATTCATCCATGAAGCCTTTTGCAAACCAATTGGCTGGTAAGCTTCAATGCTTCATGAAGCTTCCTTCTTGCCATCACTAGTTATTATCGTTTTATTTCTGGGTTTTTGCTTTCCTGTCTGTTCGTCACATTCATACAGTAGTAGAACATTGAAGAAGACATTTGGAAATCATCATTGGACCAACACAAAGCCACGATCTTCCTTGGAGAGTCATTTTATGAGTCTTGACCAATCACAGATTAGCATGAAAAAGAAGGATTACATGAAATTGCTAGAAGAGGTCCGCTCTAAGGAGGACAGCAGGAGCCTCCTCTGCCCCCCCACCACTGATCTTTTGCCTTTCCTGCAGGTGTTGCTGTTGGGACATATTAATAACAATTTCAATAATAGATTAGCTTCCCGAGAACAGAGAAAATATTTTATAAATCAAACTGAGAATTGGTAATAGTTTATTTCAACCAATTACTCTTATTTTTGTAATTTGATCTTTGTCTTGCTTTTCAAAACTACAGGAGGGGCAACCTCATCTGCCTCTGTGGACCAGCCTCCTCTGAGGTAAAGTGACCAAACCCTTTGGATTCTTTTGACCCGATGCTCTTTCCACTGTCGTCACTTTCAACACCTCAGACATTCTCCGTCACTCGCCACTTTCAAAACTGCACTTAAAACTCATCTATTTAAATCTGCTTTTGACCTGTAAAGTGAGTTATGTACGTTTCTTTTTTCTTTTTCCGTGTTGTTCCTGACTGTTATGATGTCATCTATTTTGTTCTTATTATAATTGCTTTTATTGTTTCTGTTTTTACCATGTAAAGTGGTAAAAACATGTAAATAAAAAAGCTCAAATTTAAATAAACGTTTTGATACCGACTGATCAACAAACCTTTCAGACAATCTCAATCAACTATTTACATCTATTTACTAGAAAACAACAAAACTAATCAATAAAAAAAAAATTAAAAATAGTATGGGGGGGGGGAAGAATACATATTCGTTCATTTGGCTCATGTCAAGCATTAAGTGTGTGCCTTTTAAAGCGCTGTATAAATAAAATGTAGTATTATTAAGACAAATGCTACATTTTTAGCCCCAATAGTTGCCTCTAGATGAGTTAGAGACTTTTAATATTGTCGCTGATTGTACTCAGTTAAATATAATTAAAAATAAACCATCCTAGTATCCAGGAAGTACATTCACATTGATCAATGCTTTACCCCACAACGTATATCACAATATTCAGCATCAACACAGTTAGTAGTGTGCACTTAATGTCACTAGGCAGAAAGCAAGCAACGTGATCTCACTGAACTATATGAAATAACCTCTCAACAGTATTACCTGCCGCCACCACGGAAACAATTGAGGTTTCTGAACAAAACGACCTCACTAGGTTTAGGAGAGGAAAGCTTATGGCTTCAGTAAATCTTCGTTGACTTTTGGTGTCACATGGGACACAAACTCTTCGGTAAAAGGTTAAATGTATTTTCATAAACTTTGTTCAGGAACAGGGCCACGCCCAGAACACCGCTCATTTCCTCTGCACAGAGTACTTAAGCACAATGAACCCGTTCACTCCCTCTTCAACTCTTGTCTTCACATGACGTAAGACAGATGCTCTCCAACTCACCAGACTCTCCATCCCTCCATCCCTCTACCCCTACCGCACATCCAGACGAGCAAATGCTCTCTGACTCAGCAGACGAGAAACGCTCCATCCCTACCCCACATCCCCTCTACCTCGACCCCTACGAGCAAACGCTCTCCGACTCAGCTTCAAGCTTTCATACGACGCAAGACAGACGAGCAACGCTCCCTGACTCAGCTTTCATACGCTTCAACATGAGGCACGACAGACAAACATCTTAAAACCGCTTACCTTTCACAAAGGCTCTCCTCAACCCTTCCGGACGACCAGCCATATCCCGAAGCTCCCTCCTTTTCTCACCACGCTCGTCGCTAGCAACTTCGGCTGCGTTTAGCCATCCACATTCCCCGCAGCTCTCGATAACCATCCTCCGTCAACTCCGAAGCCGTCCGCCCCCGCCTTCCAACAGCCCGGG